AACAACTCATGGTCATCGACCCCCTTATGGTTTATTCACCAAAATGTTCATTATTACTTTTGGTCATTTTTTTATTATCTACCAGCAGACAGTTATTGGATGAATGTGGTCTGACATATTTGTCCTTTTGTCTTGGTGCGAGTGGTTGTGTATCCTCTAGGTAACAGGTAGGGTTCTATCTGGCACCATGACACTGTCTCTTTGTTGGCACGACTGCACATGCAAATCATCCCATTACTGTGTAATTCTCTATGGAGTATTTTACTGACATTATCTGCATACTTGGGGCGGAATGTGGGCCTCGAATCAAGTCTAGATGAATCCAGGGGATATCACTTAATCATGTCCAAGAAACATAGGGTCCCTGTCAGGACAACATCAAGTCTGTGGTCATGAAGACAAACTAAACTCAGATCCCAGTGACTTTCATTGTCAGTCAGCAACATTTGAATATTTGCATGTACAGCGGTGAGACTGGTAAGATGTGTAGTGAGGTGGAGGTCACTGTCAGGACAAGGGCAAGGTTGTGGTCATTAAAACAATGATATGCTTGGGTTTCTTTTTCAGTTCAGATAAGGACCGTTGTCTTAATTGGTCATGTCCACTTCTGTTGAGCAGTTTGAAGATGCTTTGACCAGGAACCTGAAGGTCACCTGACTATTTTTGAAGGATTCTGAAGGCAACATTGACATGGCCAGTTCAGATGAGGAATACCTCACAGCAGAGGAGGACTCCGGCAACAGCGTGGCCAGTTCAGACGAGGAACCTGGAGGTCATCTGGTAATTGCAGGTTCAGCCGAGCGCGAGGATGACCTTGACCTAGTGAGCCAGCCACCTGTCACCAGACCTGGTTCAGGTGGGTGTCACTGGTGTCCTTGACCTTCTTAAGGCCACACTTTTTTTAGTTTGTTTCACAAAATTATTCCAGCTTTTCCACACAAGATGGGTCAAAATAGAAATAAAATGAATTGGCAATGACTCAGTTATCAAGGTTGGTGATGGCAGGACACTGCTAATATGCTGACCAGCTGGACAAATGCTGAGTGGCTAATGCAAAAATAATGATGCTGCACTTTCTTGCACTACCTTCACAAGTGTATTTGTTAAATTAGGGCTGATTGTCAAGTAGTACATGTCACTCTCAAGAAATGCATCTGAATCAAAGTTTGTTACCATGGTTACTGATGATTCCTTGGTGTTAACAGGTGACCATCCTCCAGGGGCCTCCCAGGTTGCCAACACTCTGAACATCATCACTGGACAGGCTGGACAAGGAACACTCGGGAGAGGTGAGCGTTCATGGCTGAAAGATGAGTGAATAACAACACTCTCTCTCTGTCTCTCTCTGTCTCTCTCTGTCTCTCTCTGTCTCTCTCTCTCTCTCTCTCTCACTCTCTCTCTCTCTTAACAATCAATTTATAGACTTTAAGTGCTTACCAATAGCAATATGTCGACATTTTGATTTATCGTGACACCCTACTATGAAATAGCAAATTATGTTCTTTTGCTCTATGTTTGTATCCTAATGTTTCCTTGTGTGGTAAATGCTTTTCATTTGTTCACAGATACTCTGGATTTGCGCATAAACGAAGCGAGGAATATGTTTGTATCAACTGAAGCCTGCAAAGAAGTGAAACAAAAACTGAAGACATTTGGTCATGTGACCATCTGCGGGGCTTCGGGAGAGGGCAAGACAACGATGGCTCTGGTGTTGGGTTCACAGTATGGACCCAAGGGATACGAGGTCGTGTTTGTGGACAACCTGGAGAAGTTTGACTTAGACCTCTGTCTTAGTAGACACCCCAGAATATTTCTCATAGTAGATGACATGTTTGGTACTGTTGGATTATCTGCGAATACTTCACAGTTGAAATCCTTTCTAAACAATCTTCTCCTCCATTTAGAACAAAAGCAGCCAGCAGGGGAACTGCAGTCAGAAGAAGATGACGTAGATAAATCCAGAAAGAAAGTGCATGGCCAAAGAGAAAGTCAAACAAAGGATATTCGTGTTATCTTCACGTCAAAGTCATACAACTTCCATGATGGACTTGCAAAACTGCAGTACAACAGTTTCAAACTGTTTAGGGGTCAGACAGTAATGGATTTAACTACACAAGATAAATACTGGCTTTCTGACACCGAGAAAAGGACAATATTTGAACGACATAGGAATGCTCTTGGTGACTGCTCAATGCAACATATACCTGATTACAGTGAGCTGGAAATCAATTCAAATATCTTTGGATTCCCTCTTATTTGTAAACTTTGTTTTGAATTTTCATCATTCTGCAAAAATGCAAAATCATTTTTCAAGGAACCACTGTTTTATCTTAAGTTAGAACTAAAGCATTTGCTTGAAGAGAGAAACGATCGATCAGCCATTTTGGCTCTGATGCTACTGTGTGGAAACAAATTGGACCTGACCAAGTTAGACAGTGGAGGCGAGGACAGGGAAATGGACAGCCTGGTCAAAACTGTTTTACAGCTGATGGCTGATGCTACACGTGCAGGCATGTACAAAGCAGCTAAAAGTTTGAGAGGTACATTCTTCACAAGAGGAGACACTGTTGGCTTTGCTCATTCTTCAATCTATGATGCTTGTGCCTGTGCCTTGTACAATATCAGTCCAGTCTTTGTTTTGAAGCACTGCAGTGATGATTTTCTGTTTGAAAGACTACAAGGTGATAAGGTTGATGAAACGAAAGTTGACGATCATCTCCATTTGATATATGTCTCAGAGAATTATGATGACCTCATAACCACAAGGTTTGCACAGTCAATTAAACAAGGACAGTTTTCTAAATCAGTGACACATCCAATTCTCAAACAAGACAGAACAGTTTCCATTTTGCTCAGCAAACTTCAGTGTGACGGGACAAAACATCTCCATCAGGATTCTAAGGAGGAACCGTGGCTTCACAGAAAAGAGAAAGGAAAATATTTTCTGTACTGGGCAGCTCTTGGACATAATGCACATCTAGTCATAGATATAGAACACACAACTGGAGAAGAGTTTACTCAAGGAGAGATCAGTGAGGCAATGGAAGGATGTGCACAAAGCAACAATGTGACAGTATTGAAATGGTTGTTCACGAGGAGTGAAAGACAGGACCATCTATTGACACTGAACAGACTTTTGCTGGTAGCAGCTGAAAATGGCAGCTCGGACACTCTTGTATGTCTACTGCAGGAAGGCGCTGATATTTACACAAGTGACAAGAAAATGCAAAATGTCTTTCATCTGGTCTGCAAGTCAGGAATGGAAAAATCCCTCAAAGTCTTGTTAAACTGGAAACCTGGGAATAATGTTATAAACTCTGTTGATGTGAATGGCAGAACCCCTGTCATGGTTGCAGCACACACAGGATCAGAGGGATGTTTTCAGTTACTGAGCAAAGTATCACAAATGGATGTGATAGACAAGTATAGATATGAAATTATTCACCTTGCCTCTGGTGGTGGGAACACAGCTATAGTACAACATGTCCTGTCTCCTTCTAACATCAACAGTAGAGGGATGCATGGATTGACACCAGCAATGGTTGCAGCTTTCAAGGGACATCAAAGTGTGTTTGACCTCCTTGTGTCAAACCAAGCTGACCTCACACTGGTGGATACATCTGGTGATAGTTTACTTCATCTTGCCTGTCAGGGTGGGAACACAGCTATAGTACAACATCTCCTGTCCCCTTCTAACATCAACAGTAGAGGGATGCATCAATGGACACCAGCTATGATGGCAGCTGTCGGTGGACATCAAAGTGTGTTTGACCTCCTTGTGTCAAAGCAAGCTGACCTCACACTGGTGTCTACATCTGGTGATGGTTTACTTCATCTTGCCTGTCAGGGTGGGAACACAGCTATAGTACAACATCTCCTGTCCCCTTCTAACATCAACAGTAGAGGCAAACACGGATGGACACCAGCTATGAAGGCAGCTGTCCATGGACATCAAAGTGTGTTTGACCTCCTTGTGTCAAACCAAGCTGACCTCACATTGGTGGATACATTTGGTGATAGTTTACTCCATCTTGCCTGTCGTGGTGGAAACACAGCTATATTACAACATCTCCTGTCCCCTTCTAACATCAACAGTAGAGGCAAACACGGATGGACACCAGCTATGAAGGCAGCTGTCCATGGACATCAAAGTGTGTTTGACCTCCTTGTGTCAAACCAAGCTGACCTCACACTGGTGTCTACATCTGGTGATAGTTTACTTCATCTTGCCTGTAAGGGTGGAAACACAGCTATAGTACAACATCTCCTGTCCCCTTCTAACATCAACAGTAGAGGGATGCATCAATGGACACCAGCTATGAAGGCAGCTGTCCATGGACATCAAAGTGTGTTTGACCTCCTTGTGTCAAACCAAGCTGACCTCACACTGGTGGATACATTTGGTGATAGTTTACTTCATCTTGCCTGTCAGGGTGGAAACACAGCTATAGTACAACATCTCCTGTCCCCTTCTAACATCAACAGTATAGGCAAACACGGATGGACACCAGCTATGAAGGCAGCTGTCCATGGACATCAAAGTGTGTTAGACCTCCTTGTGTCAAACCAAGCTGACCTCACACTGGTGGATACATTTGGTGATAGTTTACTTCATCTTGTCTGTCAGGGTGGAAACACAGCTATAGTACAACATCTCCTGTCCCCTTCTAACATCAACAGTAGAGGGATGCATCAATGGACACCAGCTATGATGGCAGCTGTCCATGGACATCAAAGTGTGTTTGACCTCCTTGTGTCAAACCAAGCTGACCTCACACTGGTGTCTACATCTGGTGATAGTTTACTTCATCTTGCCTGTCAGGGTGGAAACACAGCTATAGTACAACATCTCCTGTCCCCTTCTAACATCAACAGTAGAGGCAAACACGGATGGACACCAGCTATGACGGCAGCTGTCGGTATACATCAAAGTGTGTTTGACCTCCTTGTGTCAAACCAAGCTGACCTCACACTGGTGGATACATTTGGTGATAGTTTACTTCATCTTGCCTGTCAGGGTGGAAACACAGCTATAGTACAACATCTCCTGTCCCCTTCTAACATCAACAGTAGAGGAGAGTATGGATACACACCAGCGATGGTTGCAGCTGTCAGTGGACATCAAAGTGTGTTTGACCTCCTTGTGTCAAACCAAGCTGACCTCACACTGGTGTCTACATCTGGTGATAGTTTACTTCATCTTGCCTGTCAGGGTGGAAACACAGCTATAGTACAACATCTCCTGTCCCCTTCTAACATCAACAGTAGAGGGATGCATCAATGGACACCAGCTATGAAGGCAGCTGTTTGTGGACAACAAAGTGTGTTTGACCTCCTTGTGTCAAACCAAGCTGACCTCACACTGGTGGATACATTTGGTGATAGTTTACTTCATCTTGCCTGTCAGGGTGGAAACACAGCTATAGTACAACATCTCCTGTCCCCTTCTAACATCAACAGTAGAGGCAAACACGGATGGACACCAGCTATGAAGGCAGCTGTCAATGGACATCAAAGTGTGTTTGACCTCCTTGTGTCAAACCAAGCTGACCTCACACTGGTGGATACATCTGATGATAGTTTACTTCATCTTGCCTGTCAGGGTGGGAACACAGCTATAGTACAACATCTCCTGTCCCCTTCTAACATCAACAGTAGAGGGATGCATCAATGGACACCAGCTATGAAGGCAGCTGTCAATGGACATCAAAGTGTGTTAGACCTCCTTGTGTCAAACCAAGCTGACCTCACACTGGTGTCTACATCTGGTGATAGTTTACTTCATCTTGCCTGTGAGGGGGGAAACACAGCAATTGTACAACATCTCCTGTCCCCTTCTAACATCAACAGTAGAGGAAGGCAGGGATGCACACCTGTGATGAAGGCTGCATACCGTGGACATAAAGATGTGGTTGACCTCCTTGTGCAGCACAAAGCTGACCTCACACTTCTAACAGACAGTAATGAGGACATTGAATGTGTAGCTCAGAGGGGAGGACATGCTACAATAGCCAAGTATCTACAAACTGTTGAACAGCCAACTGACTAAACTGTCTCCTGAAACACTACAAACTGTCTGTTATCAAAGAGGACAACAAGACTAAAACTGGGATCTAGAAATCACAGATAAGTAGATGCATTTGTTGGGTCCTAACTATGTCTTTTACATATCAGTATTTGAGTGAGTGAGTAAGGTTTTTATGCTGCTATTAGCAATCATCCAGTACTATCATGGTAGGGGACACCAGAAGTAGGCTTCACACATTGTACCCATATTGGGAATTGAACTTGGGCCTTTGGCGGGACCAGCAAACGTGTCATAATTTCGAAGCTGGTACCTAGCTCATGGGGGTAAATAACATGTCTATTATGACCTTCAGACTTCAAAATTAACACTAAAATTAAATTGTTCTGAGGACCAGTAAAAATCCAATGATGGTAGTTGTCATTGACCAGTAGCAAGTGAATGCTATGATTCTCAATGCTTCAGTTTCGCTACAAATTGGAATTGAATAAAACTGACAAAAAAATGTAAACAAAGAAAGTACCGTATTCGACGTAATAAGCGCCCTGCTCTAATAAGCACCAACGGCGATATTTGCTAATTTATTGGCTAGTGAACAATCCCAATTAGCACCCCTTCCGATTGATCAATGTACACAAGACTTATTTATTCGTGTATAATACACACTTGTGTGTTATATGCACCGTTACTTATGGGGAATTACATTCTGGAAACATTTATCTATCGTACATAAACATTTCAGGCTGTCAGCATAAACCACAAAAAATTTCTTTAAACACTTTTTTTTCCCACCAAAATAATATTCTAATAAGAACCCCTTATTTCTAATTTTGAGAGCGCCCAGGGCGCTTATTACGTCGAATATTTGTGTCTTGTTCAAGCATTGATCGATGGAACTGGAAAGGACATTCTATGCAACAAAGTATCTTGTCATCAATCAAAGCATTCACAAGACAATACATGTACCTTGCTGACACTGATTGGTTTTCACCATTACTTACAGCGAAAACAACCAGCTCATTAATATGACAGCATGTTTGTAAACGTTGATATCTAGAAAGATCATTTCAAAGGTGTCAGTACCTGATGATCAAGTGTGTAGTGTTATTATAGTTGGGATATAATTCACACCTCATCTGTCCGTCCGTCCGTCCATCGTTTCAGGAGCACAATTCAAAGACCGTTCAAAATTGTTCAGCAAAAGTTTGCAGATATATCAAACAGATCCTGAAGTTGTTCCTTTTGCTTTTTAAGGATTTTTTACATTTTTATTTTTCTCTGTATCTATGGAATCATGTTGGACCTAGTCTCAAAAGGGGGTGGATTTCCTTTCCGTAACACAACTCACAAACCGTTTAATATCTCTCAACATTACTTCGCAGGTAATTCAAACAGATCCTGATGTGGTGCGTTTTGCTGTTTCAGCATTTTGGGCATTCTTTTTTTTATGTTTCAATGAAAGCAATTTAACTCTGGTCTGGTGTATGTTGTTTTCACAGCAGAGTTTGAAAATAATGAAACATTCTTTAACAAATCATGCTAGGTTATTAATCATGTCCTGAAGTGCCTTTATTTTGAAATTTTGAGGACAATTTCCCCCCTGTTTCCATGGAGACAAATTATGTGTTTGATACTTGGTTGGCCAATTGGGCTTGTATTAAAGAGTGGGGAGATATGTCACCTTCTGATGACTCTTGTTTTACAAGTGAGTAGTGGAAATTCATCTGTATCAGATTTAAAAAAGAGGTGTTACAATAGTTTGCAATCTCATTAAAATCAGATCTTAGTTCTCACTACTGCTAAACAAAGATCTGAGGACATCCCATTACAGGTCACGTCGGAACGTCCTTTCATAATCTTTGACCGTCCAATTAAAAAGATTGCAATATTTTGTTGAATTTATTATTTGACTCATGCATTCTTGAACCTTGTTTGAAACGTATAATACCTGTGAATAGTTATGTTTCACTTGGTGGCTGTGTGGAATTGCGATTTATGAAGTGTAGTTAGTACAATTAAAAAATTGAAACTTTTCTTGGATAAGTCCCTTCATTTACCAGATTACGAGAGCCAGCTGTTTGTTGCTGGTGTATCTTGTTTTGTCATATATATCGAGGTCCTTTATGACATCAGAATTCAAACAAGTACATTACTTAGTTTCATTAATGAAAAGAAATTATGGGGATTATACAACTGGAACTGTCACCCAGTCTTCCATCTTCCAAGTGTCGACTGAAGACACATCTGTGCTAGAAATACTGAGACCTGACCGGAACTGTGTTCATCATGTCCTGACTGTTTTACTAAGTAGTGATATGAGCATTCACTTGTGAATGAAACTTGGCGCAGTGCAAATGTAATTATTATTATTATTTATCAAGATAATAAGGGAAGTAACCCTTGAAATCAAATTTCTTCCTTCAGTTAACTTCTTCACCCTGCAGACTGAAGGAATTTTAATACTTTAGGTCATACTTGATCACAAATGTTTGACCAATATTAGATTTGAAAAATGTGAATAGCGTAAAACAGACTCAAATGACAGGCGAAATCGTCTCCTCAGTGCCTGAATTTTTGTTTGGAGGATGATTTCGCCTGTCGCATTTTATATAAATACTTTCTATGAAATACATGTATGCAGATACAATATGATGTTGAGATTACATTATTGATGATGGCATTCAGGTTAAGAATTGAACATTTTAATAATCAATTATTATGTATATCATAGAGACGGAGGTGAAATATTGTGTAAATAATATAGATGATAAGTTTCTGTTTGGTGCCACAATCATGATTGAGATGCTACTGGTTGTGACTGTTTGTTATAACAATACTCTTTTAGTTGAATGAGTTTATATATATTTTTTCTGGGGGGCACGGGTGGCCAAGTCGTCTAAGGCGCCGCGATTCACTGTGCAGAGTTGTGTCCCTTGGGCACGCCAGAAACCTATGATTGTGGGTTCGAATCCCGGGTCGCCCCGATTATGTTTCTAGGTTCGCAGCACCATACCCGTGCTTGTGGGTTTCACCGAAATGGTAGATGTCTGAGACCTGCATCACGTGGGGCTTTCCTCCCACATTAAGCTGACACGCCGTGATATAACTGGAATACTCCTCCCACATTAAGCTGACACGCCGTGATATAACTGGAATACTCCTCCCACATTAAGCTGACACGCCGTGATATAACTGGAATACTCCTCCCACATTAAGCTGACACGCCGTGATATAACTGGAATGCTCCTCCCACATTAAGCTGACACGCCGTGATATAACTGGAATACTCCTCCCACATTAAGCTGATACGCCGTGATATAACTGGAATACTGTTAAAAGCGGCAATAAACCCAACTCACTCACACTATATGTTTTTCTTTTTTGTAACAGACCACATTACATAGTGGAAAATGCATTAGGTTTTGATTTCAACAAATAAGTTGGGGCCTTTTTATGTTCAGAAATATGTATATAATCTGTTCCCCAAAGTGCTTGAGGAATAATTTATCCCCAGGTCTTACTGTAACGGGGATAAAATCTGTCATTTTTATATTTGTATCGATTAGATTTGATTTGATTTATAGGTATGTGGTCGTTGTTCAACAGACAGCAGCTTGTATGCTGTGTTGTAAATAGTTGTCTGTCTATCTCTATTTCAGGTATATAACGGTCATAGCTTGATCAGGTCATAGGGCTAGTTCTTTCTACGTTTAAGGGAAGTCAGGTTTTTCCATTAAAGTGTCATTGTTTTACTGTCTTGATCGGAGGACTGAAGCCTAGTTCTTTGCTTTGATTGGTGGATTTGAATGTCTGTGTCACCAGACATCTTAACAACTGTCACCATTTGTCACAATCATTTCATTGCCCCACAGTACAGATCAGTTCTCACGTTAATATTACTTACTAAACTTTGTCTTGTGTCTAAAAGTATATTAATCTTACTTATTGCATTAATAACGTTTGGTAATCTAATTTTTGTGATTTTGTTAATAGTGAGGGATTTGATGAGCCTGAATGTGTCTGTGGATCTGTGATATGTTGGATCTCATAGTAATGGCTGTGTACTCAAATTATATGCATATTGTAAGCTTTATCTGTATGATTATCCCATGTGTAATAATCAGGAATATTGTAAATATGGACATAAAGCTATTTAGAAAATGTATACATTGTCTGCATTGTGTATTTATCATCAAGTCGTTGTTTGACAGTATATGAATGTTTTTTAATCATGTTTGTGTGTTTGTTTTTTGTTCAACTCTGCACTCAGCAATATTCCAATTCTATGACCGGGGTCTGTAAATAATCAAGTCTGGGCCAAACAGACCAGTGATTGATATCATGAGCATCAGTCTATACAACTGGGATACGATGACATGCATCCACTCGATCTACACAACTGGGATACGATGACATGCATCCACTCGATCTACACAACTGGGATACGATGACATGCATCCACTCGATCTACACAACTGGGATACGATGACATGCATCCACTCGATCTACACAACTGGGATACGATGACATGCATCCACTCAATCTACACAACTGGGATACGATGACATGCATCCACTCGATCTACACAACTGGGATACGATGACATGCATCCACTCGATCTACACAACTGGGATACGATGACATGCATCCACTCGATCTACACAACTGGAATACGATGACATGCGTCCACAAAGTCAACAAGTCTGACCACCCGATCCGTCAGTCGCCTCTTACAGCAAGCATGTTAGGTGAAGACCTATTGGGGATCTTCACAGGCTTATCTATCATGTACCTAGGCTACTGCATGTCCATTGGAATGCTTGTGTTTGCGTGCGGCCTAATTTTACCTACATATATGTTTGGTGGACTCTCAGTAATGTTCAGCAAGCATGTAATATATAGCTGTTGTTGAATGAATTACTGTGATGAACTTGTGTAACTGTTATGCTGCCTATCATATCCTTTATACATCATTTATTTAACAACATCCAAATCTCTTTAATCAGGATTTTGTTTTGTGTAGGCAGGCAGGAATAAGTAAGAACATTTCCATGCCGACAACTGCTTCATGACATTGACATTTTTTCGATTTTGATGCCTTTTTTTCCCCCCGGCATATAATGCTGGGTGAAATGGCAATCAGCCAGTCTGTCTGTCTGTCTGTCCATCTGTTTGTCCGTAATCATTTCCTTTCCTGGGGCAGAACTCGAAAACCATTCAGTGTATTTGATTGAAACTTGGCAAATCTATCAGTCACATACTGAAGTGGTGCCTTTTGATATTTTGGGATTTTTCGAGTTTTTTATTTTTTAAAATGTCTATGGAAAGAAGTTGGACATAGACTCCATGGGGGATCGGGTTTGTTTCCGGGGAAGAATTCGAAAACCATTCAGTATATTTGATCGAAACTTGAAAGATGTATCAGTCACATGCTGAAGTGGTGCCTTTTGCTATTTTTTTATTTTTTTATTTTTAATTCTTGATTTCTATTGAAACAATTTGGACAAGGATGGGGTTAGGTGTCTTTTGTGTAGCACAACTTGAAAACCGTGAAAGAATTTTCATCCAAACTTGGTACATGTGTTAACCAAGGGCTTAAGTGATTTCTTTTGCTATTTAGGGATTTTAACAAAAATCTATTTTTCACGTATTAAACTGCGGCATGGTGTCTCTGGCTAGTGTAAGCCTTAACTAGAACAAACAGACACACACACACATGCATGCCTGTCGCTCTTGACAGGGACCTTAAACCCCATTTCAACTCACCTCACTTGTTTATTTTAATAGTATATCTTATTTATGTATGAACATTTAGGACACATTTTTATCTTACATTTACATTAGTTGTCATAAGTCCTAAAATGCACATATTGAAAAGGACAGACACAATCTCCTTCATGTGAACAACCCTCACAGTGATTTCGGTTTAGGGCCAATCCCATGCAACCTGTGCTTTGCCCTTACGAGGCAGGCCAATGGGGTAGCCTTGTGGTTGAAGCGTTCATTTGTCAGGCTGAAGGGAGCACCTCCATGGTCTAGTGGTAGAATGGCCGCCCAGAGAGCGGAAGGTCCGGTGTTCGATCCCCGGCCGCATCATACCAAAAGACGTTAAAAGATGGTACTTGTTGTTACCCTGCCTCGTGCTCGGCATTAATGGGCTTAAGCAAGGAATGGTCCGCTCGGCGTCGGTAAACTGTGTCTGAGTGGGGTATGTTTAACTGCGGCATGGTATGTCAGTGGGCTAGGAATATAAAATCGGCATTCGTCCGGACTAGTACAAGCACACACTGGATACCCCGATCGTGATATTGCTGGAATATTGCTAAACACGGTGTAAAACCGTACTCACTCACTCCCGTACAAAACGACTATAGATGATTCCGTGACCTGGGTGTGGGGAGTTGCTCATAATATCAGTCACTGGTTTCCCTGGTTCAGACTCGATTTGTTACACACCTATGCGGCGTTAAATTATCTTGTCGGTGTTTGCTGAAAAAGGCCCTGAGTGCCGTTGTACAAAACAAGCTTAGTGCTACGACTGTCGTAAGTCTATTTAAGTTATGGTAGTTACGATCACCTCAGCTCTAAGATCGCTTTGTACAACGCCACAACCGTCTTTTCCTGGTGTGATCTCTACAAGTGCGTATAATGTATATGAAAAGGGCACCGAGTGTCGTACAAAACAAGCTTAGTGCTACGACTGTCGTAAGTCTATGTAACTTATGGTAGTTACGATCACCTCAGCGCTAAGATCGCTTTGTACAACGCCACAACCGTCTTTTCCTGGTGTGATCTCTACACGTGCGTATAATGCATATCAAATGTATCTCGGGGCAGTGGGGTAGTGTCATGGGGCTAAAGCGTTCGCTCGTCACGCTGAAGACCCGGGTTCGATTCCCCACATAGATACAATGTGTGCAGCCCATTTCTGATGTTCACGCCGTGATATTGATGGAATATTGCTTAAAGCGGCTTAAAACCATACTCACTCACTCAAATGTATTCTCTTATACGACACACCCGAAATGTTTGCCGTAAAAGGCGAGTATGCTTGTCATAAGAGGCAACTAACGGGATCGGGTGGTCAAGCTCGCTGACTTGGTTGATGCATGTCATCGTATCCCAATTGCGCAGATCGATGCTCGTGATATCAATCACAGGATTGTCTTGTCCAGACTCGATTATTACAGATCGCCATCAGATAACTGGAATATTGCTGAGTGCGGCGTTAAACAACAAACAAACAAACAACCTATAAACAAATCGTCACATTGACATAGAAAGTTAATGGCTTTGCAGTACTTCTTATATTCACGTTATTTATCTACTAGTCCCTACATCACTACACATGACTCTGGGAACAGGCGTGGATGTGACGTCACTACACATGACTCGGGGAACAGAAATGGATGTGATGTCACTCAACATGACTCGGGGGAACAGGCGTGGATGTGACGTCACTACACATGACTCTGGGAACAGGCTTGGATGTGACGTCACTACACATGACTCGGGGAACAGGCATGGATGTGACGTCACTACACGTGATTCCGGGAACAGGCATGGATGTGACGTCACTACACATGGCTTGGGGAACAGGCATGGATGTGATGTCACTACACATGACTCGGGGAACAGGCATGGTTGTGACGTCACTACACATGATTCGGGGAACAGGCATGGGTGTGACGTCGCTACACGCGACTCTTGGAACAGGCGTGGATGTGACGTCACTACACATGACTCAGGGAACAGGCATGGATGTGACGTCACTACACATGACTCTGGGAACAGGCGTGGATATGACGTCACTACACATGACTCGGGGAACGCATGGATGTGACGTCACTACACATGACTCAGGGAACAGGCATGGATGTGACGTCACTACACATGACTCGGGGAACAGGCATGGATGTGACGTCACTACACATGACTCCGGGAACAGGCATGGATGTGACGTCACTACACATGACTCGGGGAACAGGCATGGAGGTGACGTCACTACACATGACTCAGGGAACAGGCGTGGATGTGACGTCACTACACATGACTCTGGGAACAGGCATGGAGGTGACGTCACTACACATGACTCAGGGAACAGGCGTGGATGTGACGTCACTACACGTGACTCAGGGAAGAGGCATGGTTGTGACGTCACTACACATGATTCGGGAACAGGCATGGGTGTGACGTCACTACACATGATTCGGGGAACAGGCATGGTTGTGACGTCACTACATATGACTCTGGGAACAGGCGTGGAGGTGACGTCACTACACATGACTCAGGTAACAGGCATGGAGGTGACGTCATGGACAGAAGCTCACGGTGTCGGTAGTGAGTGGGTATGGTTTTACGCCGCTTTTAGCAATATTCCAGCAATATCACGGCGGGGGACACCAGAAATGTATTGTACCCATGTCGGGAATCGAACCCGGGTCTTCGGCGTGACGAGCGAACGCTTCAACCACTAGGCTACCGTCAGTAGTGCTTTGAAGTCTAATGTTGATTCTTTGTCAGTTTGCCATGAGACACAACGAAACGAATGTACAAATGCGTCAATCCAGTTTATTTATTGCAAGATGCATCTAGTTCCGTCTTACTTGATCCTCCGCTGGTTCGTCATGTGCATCAAGGTCACAAATCTCAAACTTGAAACGACGGTCCCTTGGAATGAGATAATTGCATGAAAGTCAGTAATTTTTACACAATATAAACCATTAATCAACCTGTAAAACCAAAAAACGTTAATATTTTCATAGGCATTATCTCCATTATATATACGAATTTAAATATATATATCATCGCAGTTACGTTTGACAGTGAGTATAAATCAACATTGTCACTTGGAAATGTCAACAAGGTATTGAAATTTCAGAATGCTTTTATGTATGCTTCATTCATATTTGGACTAAGTTTGAAGTGTTGAATCATATCTTAGAGACAATATTATCTCCAGAATCACGTCTGATACATGTCTCTTAAACCATACCTATTCATGCCGTATTACAGCGCGACATTGATAATATAACGAGACGATGCAGCGTTAGCGATGTGATAGGCCTTTACTCTGTAGATGGTAATCTCGCAAGGATCACACTCGTAAGGGAGGGCGACAAAGCGATGTCCCCTCTCGCTCATCAAATCAACGGCCAGTTTGGTAAAGAAATGTGAACAACATCAGAATGACAGAGTGAAGCGTCTGTGAAATACCGCTACCATAATGCAACATGGATGTCCTCTCGCTAAATTCATTATGTAGCCTGGGAGGTATTGATTACACATAATCTTCACAATTTCATACTGAAATATGGAACGAAAACAACTCACTCTTCCTTGTTCTCGTGGTAGCTGTCGATGCCGCGCATGACTTTCCCGGAAGGCACAACGTAGTCCATGTGCTCGTCGAAGTTGTTGACGTAAGCCGTGAAGTAGCAGGACCCAGTTATGTAGCCTGTGTTGAAGCATTTGATAATAATAAGAAGAAAAAGAAGAAGAAGAAGGAATGTAGATAATATAAGGAAGTTAATCAGGCTGCCCAACGCATTGTCAGTTCAAGCTTTGGAACGAACACAGTATCTTAAGCGACATGATGGAATGGCTCAATCAGTTTATGACCGTCCTCGCCATGCTTGCGGTTTTGACACAGAGGTCCTACCATGGGACCACCCACAATATGTAGAGGGCGTCATGGAAAATGAAAAATACAAAATTCTTTGGAATAGACCCGTATACAGCATCAGGCTTATCCAAGCCAACAAACCTGATCTTGTCCTTTTTATGAATCCAATGAAATCATTTATATCATTGAATTTTCTGTCCATTTTGAGACATTTTTTTAAGACAAGATTCAAGAAAAACATGGTATATACCAGTATGCAGGCCTTGCTTTCGAAATGTCACGCTGGCATCCCAAGTACCAAGTTGTCCGACTTCGCATTGTTCTCGGTGCCTTAGGTTTGGTATCTCTCAATCTATGGACCGACATTGGGAGAATACCCGGGTTTGCTACCAGGAATACAGCCCTTCTGACAAACTGGGTAATACAGAAGGCTGCAGTGTTGGGGAGTCTTCACATTCTCCGAAAAGTTCCTGGTGGGTTCGACTAGTCAGCGCTTCCAGGGAGAAGTCCCATTCGCTGTCTGAAATGCGTGTAGAGGAGGCAAGAGCGCCACGATTTGCTGTGCAGAGTTGTGTCCCTTGAGCACGCCAGCAACCTCTGATTGTGGCTTCGAATCCCCGGTTCGCCCCAAATATTTCAGTGCTCGTGGGTTTCACCAAAGTGATAAACGTCTAAGACCTGCATCACTTCGGGCTTTCCTCCCACATCAAGCTGACCCGTGATATAATTGGAATACTGTTGAAAGCGGCGTTAAACCCAGTTCACTCACTCACTCTGTGTTTGGTCTCGGAATATTGATCGTCGTTGTATAATGCGAAAACGGCGTTGCTTTTGAAAAAGAAATGTGAAAGATCCTTGTGGAGAAAGGTTGGACGCATTTTAGCAAGTATGTTCAGAGGAGTCCGGTTTTGAAGACGTGTTCCCTCAACCAAGAAAAAATGCATTCTGAAAATTTTGAATATATGGCCGCCACGCAAAATTACAAATCCAAAAATGTGAAATATATTGCATCATAACATCATTCTAAGTTCAGTATATTTTGGTGAAGAACCTTGCAGATATGATTTAAAAAAAGAAATTATATGAAAAAAAATCGATCAGATCTAAAAACCTAATATGACCAAAAACAAATAAAAATCTGGTCGGCTCGGCGTCAGTATACTGCGTCTTAGTGGGGTATTCATGTTAAACTGTGGCATGGTATCTCAGTGAGCTAGCACTATAAATCGGCATCAGCCCGGACTAGTACAAGCAGCCACACACACACACGTGTATGCACGTCGCTATATAAGTGCAATAATCTTGGACGCGACGTTAAACCCAATTTCACCTCACCTCACCTTCAAATCTAGGTGCAGGTGTGGTTTTTAATTTCAATTTGAACTCATCGTCCACAAAAAGTGACTTGAATCCAACTTTCTACAATCGCCAAAAGGTCTCACCGCGTTAACATCCACAATTACCTGGTATTTCGCAGCAGTAGAACTTGAAACGACGGTCTTCATGCTGGTTGTCATGGATACTACTAATTCCCGCTATGACGCCATCACGTGCACATTGGAAGGTCAAGGGTCGATCAAATTCATTTTCGTAGCCTATGAGATGTAAAGCACGTGGCATTGATGGAATAGATAACGATAATATGTTATTTCCATCCTTGATAATAGAGAAAATAAAATAACTTTAAAAAACATAAGAAATATTCAATCCAACAGTGTTTTCCTTTTCGACACATTTACTATTTTGTTGTCAAATCTGGCGGATCTGTCTATAGTGGCTAACCTGCTTATCATGGCTTAATATGTTTTTATGCCTTACCTGTCTATAGTGGCTAACCTGCTTATAGTGGCTTACCTGACAATTGAAATATACTTTTCTGTAGTAACCTACCTGTCCATTCACAGTTGCTCATCTTAGCATCGTGATGAGGCGGGGCTCTACAGGAGAAATCCCATACTCTGTCTTCAAAGTGGTTGTCATGGCTACTGACAACATGGACCAATGAGGTTTCAGGTGGGCATGTGAAGGTGAATTCTTTATCGAATTGGTTGACCCAGGCTGTCACGTGACACACCAGAACGCAGAGAATAGCCTGAAATAAAGAGTAGTGCTTGTGGTTGTGTTTTATGAAATGAATAAACGATATCTGGTGGGACTTACTTACTTACTTACTTACTTACTTACTTACTTACTTACTTATATTGGAGATTTTACGTGCGCTTTCCGACTGCAACGTATTTCGCACACGGGCCCGGCCAGGCCATTTAATGTGTTGCCGAAAAGGGGGAAAAGTTGTTTGGCAATCAAGTAGGGGTGTTTTAGTGGTTGCTTATATAGAATTTTGGAAATTTTGAGATTTGGGTGGTTTAGGATTGCTTCTAGAGTAAGAGCCTTAATTAGATTTAGGGTGGTTTGTAGTGTAGTTCGGTGTGTTAGGTAGTGGGTGCAGTGTATGAGTGCGTGTTAGGTAGTGGGTGCAATGTATGAGTGCGTGTTAGGTAGTGGGTGTAGTGTAGTTCGGTGTGTTAGGTAGTGGGTGTAGTGTAGTTCGGTGTGTTAGGTAGTGGGTGCAGTGTAGTTCGGTGTGTTAGGTAGTGGGTGCAGTGTATGAGTGCGTGTTCTGGGGTTTCTAGTTGTTTGCAATGTGGGCAGGTTCCTGTTGCGTGTTCTTTTAAATTATTTTGAGGTGGTTATTTAGGTTGGTATGTCCTGTTTGGAGTTTAGTGATTACTCTGTGTATTATTTTGGACGGCTGTAGAATTTTTGGTTTGGTTAGGGTTTTTGTGAGAATCTTTTTGATTTGGCTTACTTACTTACTTACTTACTTACTTACTTACTTACTTACTTACTTACTTACTTACTTACTTACTTACTTACTTACTTACTTACTTACTTACTTTGGAGATTTTACGTGCGCTTTCCGGCTGATGCGTATTTCGCAACACGGGCCTGGCCAGGCCATTTAATGTGTTTCCGAAAGGGGCGAAAGTGGTGTTTGCAACCCAGGAGGGGGCTTTAGGGGTTGCTTATATAGAATTTTGGAATTTTGAGATTTGGAATAGAATTGATTTGGCAATTTCCACTGGACTGTTATAGTCAATTAACTCCCTCGCCTCGGGAAGATCAGTAAGATCATCGTGCCTCGACAAAACAAACAAGTGGTCATTAGTGTCAGTCATTAATAAAGTCAACGTGTCTCGACAAAACAAGTGGTCATTAGTGTCAGACATTAATAAAGTCAACGTGTCTCGACAAAACAAACAAATGGTCCTTAGTGTCAGACATTAATAAAGTCAACGTGTCTCGACAAAACAAACAAGTGGTCAATAGTGTCGGCAATTAGTAAAGTCATCGTGCCTCGACAAACACTCGCGGCTTAGTGGCAAATAGCCTTCTGAGATCATGTGGCAGTATGTCCGTCATATGGAGTTGGTTCACATTCCTAAATTGTCCATAAGTAATTATCAGATACAGGGTATGAACGTTTACAAGGGCGGGTCACAAGCACAAACTCCAGAGGTCCGCCAGTTGTTTGTGACATGCAATATTTCCCTGGCCTATGTTTCTGGCACAGGAATATTATGAAAGAGAGTTTTGCGATTTAAAAGCATGTTTCATTGAACGCTAGTTGAACAAACTCATTCAAGACATTCAATGACACGCACCCACTATCGTGCAGACGCGCACTTACTGATGACCACTGTAACCTTAATATGTGATACAAAAAAAATAACCGACCTTCTTCAAAGATTCCATTTTGCCTTCTACACTCAATGTCTGTTGTCTGAGTATGGAACACTCGCTAGGGGTCGAGATAACTGTGTCTTGCTGATAAGAGACCAGGCTATAATGCCACACGCATATATCCCATACCTATACTCTTCAAAAAAAAGAAACGCAAAGCCAGATTTGTGTGAGGTAGGAAAGACATTTATACGAGGAACCGTACTAGGTACTGATCCAAAATGTTGTGGAGAGAACACTTGGTGGTTGTAGTCCTCTCAGTACATAGGAAAAGTCCAAGGTGAAGGTCAGCTACCATCAATAACGCGTATGTACCCCGTTGGAATCGATGGCGGCCTGACATCTGCCCATGAAAGAATCGAGTATGCGAATCACATCCTGGGGAATGGTAGCCCACTCGGTCTGCAGCGCAAAACCAACTGCTTCAACATCTGGGGTTGTGGTTGACGTCGGCGTAGCCGTCTATCCAATTCATGCCACAGGTGCTCTATCGGGTTCAAATCCGGGGATCTGGAGGGCCAAGGGAGAGCATAGACATTGTTGTTTTGAAGACAGGATCTTGTGATCAGTGTTGTATGCGCGTTGTTCTGCTGGAATACATCGTTGCCGTTAGCTACAATTAGTAGTACGTCTGGTAGGAGAATTTCGTTGATGTATCGTTGAGCCGTAAGATTGCCCTGGATATGGACCCGACCTTTCGTGCCATGATGAGAGATAGGCGCCCACATCATAACGCTACCCCCACCAAACCTGTCCACTTCCTGTATGCATGTCATGGTTTCGAGTCCACTAGTCTTGAGATTCCCCCCTATTGGTTAACAGAAAGGACCCGCATGACATTGAAATTTCTTCCCACAATGAGTTGACATGTTCTGATATAAATTCTACCACGATGCTGAACAGTGTTTGATTCTGATTTGTCAAAAAAGACTAAAATCAGGTATCTAATTCCATTTGATACCTCAAAATAAACATGACTTTTTACATAAGAACTTTTGAATGAAAACATCGATTTATCGACACTCCACGCATCGATGCATATAACAATGGCTGCAATGACATTTCATGCCAGATAGAGGCTCACTTCCATCAATTAATTATCTCCTTAATGTTGATCTACAGATCAGGATTGTCTTCTGGGTTACAGCGATTTGAGGGGGCACGGGAGGCCCAGTCGTCTAAGGCGCCGCGATTCGCTGTGCAGAGTTGCGTCCCTTAGGCACGCCAGAAACCTATGATTGTAGGTTCGAATCCCGGTTCGCCCCAGTTATGTTTCTAGGTTTGTCAGCACCATACCCGTACTCGTGGGTTTCACCGAAGTGGTAAACGTCTGAGACCTGCATCACTTCGGGCTTTCCTCCCACATCAAGCTGACACGCCGTGATATAACTGGAATACTGTTAAAAGCGGCGTTAAACCCAACTCACTCACTCACTCACTACAGCGATTTGAAAAACGCTCTGTCACCGTGAACATCTATTTTGGCAGCCATTGAGAGCAAAGAGCAAAGTTCAGCCAGGTTGGAGTTCGGTCATTTTTAATGTTTTACTGTTTGGTGGATATTTTAAACCAACTCGTACATACGTACAACTTCAAAATGACTAAATTCAGAATGTTTGTTGGTGAAATAAATTTGTTCAGGATCGTTTTACTACTTTTGCTGCCTGTCACACCAGAGTCTCTATTATATGGTCTCTGGTCACACCAACTTTGAGAGATGTTCATTTCCAAGAATGACTTGGTTTCGCTCATGACGCACTTCTTTCAAAACCACGTGGAAAATAGTCCCAGGAGTTTACGTAAAACTTCAAGACAGGCCCTTTGTAGATAAGAGAGGTAAAGTATGGAATCCTAGAAGGGACATTGTCGAATTGTCGCCTTACAAAAGCAAGCAAAAGATATTATAATTATGTCGTCCTTTCGTAAAAAGTAAAAACAAAATATTCAAAGCGCGACATTGCGACAATCGTGACTACCGCGAGCAGTCAACTCTATCTCTGTGACGGGATTTCCAAGATGGTGGCACTTCCGGTTCAGGTGCCTGCTGGTCTATCTTTTAAAGTTTTCAACTAGATACATGTATTTTAAAACTATGGTAAGTTTTTTTGGGCCGTCAGTTTATATGGCGCTCGGGAAAGAACAGGGTCTAAATGTGTATGACAAAGCGTGACAGTTGCCATTGTCCAGGATACTGAAGGGAGTGAGTGAGTTTGGTTTTACGTCGTTTTTAGCAATATTCCAGCAATTTCACGGTGGGGGACACCAGAAATGGGCTTCACACATTGTACCCATGTCGGGAATCGAACCCGGGTCTTCGGCGTGACGAGTGAACGCTTTAACCACTAGGCTACCCGACCGCCCCAAGGAACTGAAGAATCCTTTACGATGAATGTTTGATTAGAAAGTTAATCAGTCGTGACCTCATGTGGAGGGTTTGTCAGATCTTGAGTGAGAGAGAAATTAGAGTCAAAGATCGGATTTTAATCAACAGGGCTTCAAGTATGATCAATTACTTATACTACTAAACACGATCATAGTTCTATAGTTTTATCATGTGTTTATACAGTGTTAAACTACAACTGGAACTGGCACTTGCTCGCGGTCAAATACGCTGGTAGAGAAGTGAGCGAGCGATTGAGTGAGTGAGTGAGTGAGTGAGTGAGTGAGTGAGTGAGTGAGTGAGTGAGTGAGTGAGTGAGTGAGTGAGTGAGAGTGAGTGAGTGAGTGAGTGAGTGAGTGAGTGAGTGAGTGAGTGAGTGAGTGAGGAATTTGCAACCGAGGTAATGAGCTTGAAAGGGTTACTATCCTGGTAAGGAGCATGACATACCAGACAACTTTCCTCCACAACATCCAGCTGAGAAGGTTCTTGTAAACGTCCAACCGATCCCTATTCTGAGTGAGTGAGTATGGTTTTACTCCACTTTTAGCAATATTCCAGCAATATCACGGCGGAGGACACCAGAGTGAGTGAGTGAGGTTTTACGTCGCTTTTAGCAATATTCCAGCACTATCACGGCGGGGGGAGACCAGAAATGGGCTTCACACATTGTACCCACGTGGGAATCGAACCCGGGTCTTCGGCGTGACGAGCGACCGCTTTAACCGCTAGGCTACTCCGCCGGCACCGCTGGTAGAGGAAGAAGGGAACATGGGATTTGGGGTTGAAGGAGTGGCTCGTTCTTTTACCCATTTTCTGTCTTGGTCTTTTGGAATTGATTGATTGATTGATTGATTGATTGATTGATTGATTGATATTCCAGCTATATGACGGCGGTCTGTAGATAATTGAGCCTGGACCAGACAATCCAGTGATTGATATCATGAGCATCGATCCACGCAATTGGGATCGATGACATGCATCAACCAAGCCTGACCCCCCGATCCCGTTTGTCGCCTTTTACGATAAGCATAGTCGCCTTTTACGGGAAGCATGGGTTGCTGAAGACCTTTTCTACCCCGGAATCTTCACGGGTCCTTTTGGAATTAGTACCACGTGTGAAACTGAGACATATCAAGGCGGTCATATGCCGCTAGATTCATGTCCATTATAAAATTATAGTGAGCAGATAAAGTTGTGTTTGGCGACTTGACTCGAGTGCCAGTGTTACTCTTGAAACACATACAAGTATATAATTATGGAATTGTAGGAGGGACATTGTCGCATTGTCGCCCTTACAAAATTAACCCAAGCGGCAGTGTAGCAAATGGCCAAAATGTCGCGTCCTCGTGCTTTGGTTTATTTTGAGACTTTTTGCTTTTTTTGTAAGGCCAACAAAGTGACAATGTCCCTGCTAGGATTCCATACATACAGGCACGTTTGCTAGATGTGTTGCCGTTGTTGGATATCCAATAATATACTGAACCGCAAACGAAACGTCACCCCAAGTAACATTACATGAAAAGTTGTCATTGAAATATCTGAACCAAGATTCGAACCCACATTCATAGGTTTCTGGCGTACCCAAGGGACGCAACTCTGCACAGCGAATCGCGGCGCCTTAGACGACTGGGCCACCCGTGCCCCCCACAAGGCAGGTGAGTGAGTGAGTATTGTTTTACGCCGCTTGAAAGTGGTGTTAAACCCAACTCACTCACCCGATTATTTACAGGCAGTCCTGATACAGCGTGAATACTGCGATGTATGAACCGCAAACGAAACGTCACCCCAAGTAACATTACATGAAAAGTTGTCATTGAAATATCTGGGTTATTTTGACATTTAACATCACCTTGTCCGGAAAAATGAAATTTGATGATAAAAATCAAAGCAGATGACAATAAATCCGATCCACGGCAACGGCCATGGTAACCCGATGCACGATCGTCAGAATGTGCGACAGCATCTTCAAGATCGCTTTTCCTGCTGCGACCTTCCCCAACGATTCCATTGCACCTTTTAAACACAATGCATTTAGTCTGAGTATATGACATCTGGTAAGGGCTGGATTCCTCCTGTCTAGTTGATAAGGGATTAGGCCATACTGCGACATGCATATATTCTTATATAATAGGTGTAGCTTTCAAATCTTATCAGTAGTAGTATAGGTAAGGGGGGATATACCATGCAAGCGGGTACACCCTCGATGGGGCCATTAATATGCTATTCCAGGATCGACATGACATTAAACTAAGACGAATGCCCCCAAATAAGTGTACTCCCAATTAAATATTTGTGGTACATAGTATATATATAAACGCCAAGAGCATCCCTACCAAGAGAAGCATACACTGAAAATCGTCTGGGCACTTTATCTGTTCGAGCAGCAAAACAGAAGAACCACATTCCACAAGCTGGATATATGCAAATTCGTGGAAGCGAAGAGGAGCAAGAAGAAGTATTGAGGCCTATGATTGTCTCGAAAAAAGATGCCCTTTTCTTTTCCTATCCGATAGAAAGAAACAAATCTTGGGGTATTTAGGGTATACTTTCTACGAGCGGCACCAAATCCCACAGCAGTATCTAGAGATATACCTATGCGTCTTCCGTCCTGCAATCGAGACTGGCAAGATACTAGACTTCGTTTTCTTATACAACAGACATCGAAGCCTAGGCAAACTTCGTATCATTTCCTCTAGAGAAAGTGAC